TGTGCGCTCGAAGAAACTTAATAAAAGTAATGTGCTCTCCGGCAGGGTTCGAACCTGTGTGGTTTCTCATTCAAAAGTTCTATGCGTTTCTTCGTTTTGGATTCTTGTATTAAATCTTTTTTTCCTTCCCAGTCGTCTTTCCTGACATTTTCCTGTAACTCTCAAGACAAGAAAGAAAATTGTTCAAACGCAGGCCTATCTGTTTTCGCTAACCCATATTGAACCAATCCAGTAGGGTTTTGTCATCACCGAGCAGAACCCGGATTTTCTCCGCTCATCATTAACTGTTGTACCCTCAATGAGGTCCCTTGCTTTGAATGTCGCTTACGGCCATATCACGTTGAAACACCGGTTTTCGTACGATCACCGAGGTTAAGCAATGTCGAGAAAGGTCAGTACCTATGCGGGTTTTTATACCCTTTGAATTTATGTGACCAGCAATTTGTCCTCCGTATAAAATAAGGGTAAAAAGAGCATTGACGTGACACGGCGAGAGAAAACAGGACAACATTAAACTTGAGTGGAAAAAAAAAATTCTTTATATCAGAAAGAAAAAGAAAAAGAAAAAAAGGGAAGATAGAAAAAAATTGGGTTTAAAAATCGTTGCAACCCCCCAAAAAAAAAAAACAGTGGTTTTTTGTGAGGACTTAACTAGTGGCAATAAAATTCGTTCGGTTAACTATTCTTCTCATTTTTGTTGCAACGTCGGAATATATTCGTCTTCAGGTCGAAGAGGGATTCGATTTTTGGATGCTTTGCTGCAACTGTTGGGACATCCTCGTTCCTATGTTCTATTCTTGGCCGCTCCATTTTCGGACACCATGGTTGAATTTTACGGAGCTAATTTAGTCCGTGTTGACTCGTCGGTATAAAAGAGGCCGTAATAGGCTGCTTTCAGCCCAACCCAGGAGTCGGTGATAATGACTCCTACAAAGGGAGGCGATTCATTTATCTATATAATATTTTCAATATACCTGGCTATGCGTATGGTGTAATCGGAATTGGAAATCACATAGCCAAGTTCCAATTCCAGTTGGGTTCGTTATATTCACTTACCCGCAAATACACTTGGGAAAGCTATGAATTTACCTCGTCTCCCCTTAGCTATGGGTTAAATAGTAGGACTTGTATCAGTAAATCATTATTATTTCGAAAACATTCTTATAATCACCCCCAAAATATTCCTGGCTTTACATCGTGTGCGGATTAAGACCATATCACCTTGAAAGTCGTTCTCGTATGATCACCGAAGTTAAGCAATATCGACCCTAGTCAGTACTTAGATGAGTGACCGCTAGGGAATACCAGGTGCCGTAAGCTTGGATGTGTGGATGTGTGGATGGTGTAATGGATAATGGCTTGGAATACATTCACTTACGCACAAATACCACCTATTCTCCCCCAGCTATGGGTTAATTAGTAGGACGTGTATCAGTAAATCATTACCACCCCCCCCACAAAAATTCTCACAGTCTAAAAATATTTTCTGGTTTTAAATAAACTACAAAAGGGTTGATGAACCATAAAACCGAATTAATCATTGCTTTGAATGTCTATTGGTGATCAGGTTCACTCCAGACCTCGAGTGGAACACATCTATACGATCCACCACTAAAGATGCTGGAAAAATGGTCGACTCTTGTTACTGTTTCAGAAAGTTCTAGATTCCTCTATCTTTACAAAAGTCACATCAGACCGAAAATGGGGTATTGCTGCTATATCTGGTAAGGGCTGACCAATCTTCACTTTCCCGCTTCGATAGAGTTCAAAAGGGTTTACCCGGACTTTTGGGTGATGAATTATTTTTCATACTACAAGCCCTTTCCTACAGACGAAACGTTAACAGCATTTGCCTCTCACTACTCTATCTTGACTTCCATGGCAAATATTCAGACGAGCTACATTCCTTAGTTCCGCCAGCTCAGACCTTCACAGCTAGAATCCATCATGGCACATAGGCTCATCTTTATTCCATTGGTATAAAGGAATTTCCACTCATAGAGTTTCTTCCTCGGATCTGTTATTTTATGGAACAAAAGCCAATATGCGTCTCCGATCAATGCGATCTTAAGCAAACGGTTTGTATATATCCCCAAAATATACACTTTTTACTTCCTCCTCTCTCACCCTTATAAAAACCGCATTCATTAACACTCTACGTTCGGTGCCTCTTTGACTTCGTATTGGGGGAACAACAGTATATATATATATATATATATATATATATATATATATATATATAAACACACACACACACACATTTTCTTTATTTCTGAATTTTCTTAATGTTTGGACACGACGAAGCACAGTTGACTGATTGATACACAATCGAGTATGGGTATAAGACATAAGATTTCCTTAGCACTGTACAAAATATAGCTCCGCTTTTTTTTTTACAAGGCCCAAGAGCCACTCAAGGTAGAGGATTGCAAAGATAGAGACGCCACCTCATGCAAGGTGACGATGCTACCAAGACACAAAAGAGAAAGAAAAGAAGGGACCGGAAGCCCAATTCTAAAAAGAATACAAGGGATAAACCTCGACTCCTGTTCAAAAGATTGGGGAGAAGTTTGAACCGGGCGACCGGCACAACTCTGACATATAAAGCAGAACGGCAGCTAGACTGATTAGAGAAAGTTATTAAGTGTGGACTAATTAGTATTTCAATGGAAACTTTGCAGACGCCCAAGAGAAAGGTTATTGTATTATTGAATCCTTTGTGTTTATTTATTTATTTCTAAGAGCACACGTTAAAAATTTCATGGTTTCCGTCTTTGGATTTTATTAGGAAACCGAATTCTCAAATAAATGATTCAATAATCTCCTTGCGATTGTCATGGCTATTTTATAGTCGTGGAAATTCTCCTATGGCATCGTTAAATATCTGAGCCTAACATTAACGCAATAACATTCATAAGTATGAAGGCAGGTCGTTATGTAAAGAAGTAAGAGGGTACAAATAAAAAGTTTCAAAAGTTTTCAATTTCACTGGAGCACTTTGAAGGAGCAAAGTGGAGTAATGGATAGCAGCTCGGATTAAGGAATCGGAGGGTCGAGTTCGAATTCCAGTCGAATCCGTTGCATAATACCCTTAGAAAAGGTATGAATCTTGTTCTTCTCCCTCCAACTATGGGTAAATAGCAGGACAGACTGGATTCTATAGCCTTGGATGGCATCTGGTCTACCGTAGAAAGAAATGGCAACCTACAGCGGGAAAAAATTCTGCCTCGTCAGTCACGTATCGAAAGACACATGATAACGTGACATTAAACGCATGACAGCATTATCGCCTCTTTTATCTTTCTTTCTTTTTGATTTGTATGCTTTCTTATTAAAATCAAATCGCCTCTCCGATATATCTTTTCCTTCTGTCTTTCCTTACAAAATCCAAACGAAACGGCTCATTATTTATTGAGACAATGGTAGGACGTAACGCACGTGTTAGCTAATTTACTAAATAACGAAATAGGAAACAAAATTCTAATATTAAAAAAAGATTATTACTATGCACATAAATCGACTTATGAAACGCTTTGCCAAAATTAAAACTAAAATATCTATTGCAATTCGCTCAAAGGTTGCCGACCTCTTATTAAAAAATACATCAAAAGTTTTCCTCTTTGAAGCGCAGCGATAAGGCAAGGATGTATTTTTTTTCACGGACTTTTTGTTTGCTTTTTTCTTTTTCATTTTACTTTCTTCTTTACGTTCTTCCACACAGTTTTCTTTCAAATAGCTACTTTCTTTCTTTCTTTCTTTCTTTCTTTCTTTCTTTCTTTCTTTCTTTCTTTCTTTCAATTAATCCTTTCATCTTTCTCTCACGTGAATTAAAAGAATAATCGAAAATAGATTCTTTTCCATACATTTCTTTCCTTTTCTTTCCCACAGCTTTTCTTTTCCCGCCTTTTGTCCTTTGTCCCCTTTTTCTTTTGCTTGTTTCAAATGTTCCTCTTTTTTTGCTTTTAATTTCCTTCCTTCCGTCCTTTCTTTCTTTCTTTTTTTCTTTTCTTTTCTTTTCTTTTCTTTTCTTTTCTTTTCTTTTCTTCCTTTCTTCTATCTCTCCTTCCATCCTTCCTTTTTTCCTTCCACAGTTCCTTCTTTCCCCAAATCCTTTCTTTGCACCAAACAATTTTCCTTCCTTCCCTGCACACTCCCTTCTTTCCACTCATCTTTCCTCCCTTCCTTCCTCCTTCTTTCCTTCCTTCCTTCCTTCTATTTGTAAAAATTCAATGTTTCAAGACACGTAACCAACATAGTACCTCACCACCTTCCTTCAATTTCCCGGGTAACCTCTGATAAGCGCATTTTGATTACACCTTTATCAAGCGTAGCATTTGTAAAGAAGCAAAGTAAACAAAATTCAAACGACGAACAATCACAAACGCATGAAACGCAAAGTCATATTTTCTTAGCTTAAAACAAATAAGGAACGTGAATAAAGTTAGACACGGTTCAAATATCAAAACCCTTATCTAAATATTTGGTTAAAATTAATCTGCTGAAAAGGAGTAAAAGAACTCTACACGAGCAGAAACATCTTTTTAATAGTTTCCCAAACGAAAGAAAATTAAATACTGAAATATTAAACTTTTTCTATTCTTTATTTATCTTAAAATTTAAAAATAAAATTTAGAATCGAGTTATTGTTGTGTTACGAGGGCATTTGATTGCATGGCGATATTTTTTCACAAACACTGACAAAGAGTTTTATGATTTGAGGGTGTTCTCGATTTCGAATATAAAATACAGCTCTGCATTTTCTGTTTGATTCAGAAAGAAAATTGAAATAATTATTAGACAAAATACTTGAGGAGAGTAAGTAAAAAGGAGGAACGATTAACTTTAAGAAGAAAAAATGCATGGTTGTCAGCAAAAGAGGCAACGCAAATATGTGCTGCATAGTGGGGACGTCAGAAAACAAACAGTCGCAGAAATTTAACCAAATTAAGTGTAATAACAGATTACAGAAAATAGATTACAGAAATCCAAAGATGCATAGGAATAACGTAAGATAACGTCTAGCAACTAAATCTTTTTTGTTCGCTCTCCCTCCAGAACATAGACGTTCATGTCTCTTCCCAACTTCCTTTCTTTCTTTGGAGCTCAGTAACGTTTGTCTTTTCACCATCCCACCCAGACCCTGTTCTGCCAGCAAGCTCGTTACGACGCTGCTTTCCCTTGACCCTCTTGCCGCAAATACGTCTTGTGAGTGTCAAATTCACCAAACCTTTTCTACTCATTATGTGTCGTAGAAATTGCAACTGGCTTTTTTTGACTCTGAGTATAAGCGTACTTTTTGTTTCCGTTTTCTTAAAAAAAAATCTTCAATAAGGATTAGAAGGAGAAAGAAGTGTTGCCATAATAGATCAAGAATTATTGAGAGCAAACAAGCGGTAGGAAGTCTTAACTTCCCGGGAGCTGAAAGAGCATGGAACGTAAAATAGGAAAGAAGAAGATATGGAGATCCCAAATATCTTCTTGATAAAACAGTTAAAATATATCCAGAGCTTTATATATGCAGTTAAAGTAGAAACTGTTAGCTTAACATTTATTCAAAACCGTAGATTGACAGTAATTAACATTCATTAGCATAACTGATATATATATATATATATATATATATATATATATATATATATATATATATATATATATATAGAGAGAGAGAGAGAGAGAGAGAGAGTGTGCAGCTTATATTTTATATCATAAAGAAACAATTTATACAAAGAATTAATTAGCAATGTTAATGCGATTAATGACGAAATCACTTCGAGCTGTTAAAAAAAAAACATCTTTCGATCTATACATACATATTACGTCTTAGTGCTTACCTCTGTATGGGAAAAATTGCGCCCTGAAGATGACAATTTGAAATTGTTGAAAGTGCATGGAATGTATCTTCCATCCGGCAACAACTCGAATATAAGGATCCTATTATTCAAGGAACTGATAGAAAGTTAATGTCTCATTAAACCTTGTTAGCGAAGTGATTTCGCCATTAATCATATTAACATTGCTAATTAATTTTTGCATAAATTGCTTCTTTTATGATATATATATATATATATATATATATATATATATATATATATATATATATGGTTTAAAATGAAAATGACAATTGGAAGAAATTCTTATCCCTGGAAAATTTAACTGTATAATTCATTAGCTTAACTATTGATATATATATATAGGGTGATTGAAAATTAACTCCCCATTTTAAAATATTTATAATTTATTTATCAACTATAATTTTTTTTCTACCAGCTTCTTTAGCCGCATAGGAACCACGTCAACTGATTTCACTAGGGACTCTTGTGGTATGGAAGACATAACTTCTTGTATTCGCCCTTCAAGTTCTTCCAAAGTCTTGGTTTGGTATCGTAGACTTGCTCCTTTAACCAACCCCACTAAAAAAAAAGTTAAAATGTTTTAAGCCAGGACTCCTGGCTGGCCACTCATACATAAAATAGGGAGTTACTTTTCAATCAGCATATATATATATATATATATATATATATATATATATATATATAATTTCACCCCAAGCAAGACAATAAACTACATTCCCTGGTCCCTCCAATTAAAACCTGCACGGCTAGGACCCCCCCAATGCTTCTCACATTGTAGTAAGCCACTGACATTCCTTTCGTATTCCAATGGTAAGAAGTAAGTTCCACTCGAACAGCTTCTTCCCATGAACCCCTGCTCTGTCGAATCGACTCCCATGAGAATGTTTCCCCGATCACGACGATCTTAACGTGTTCAAGCCTAGTGTTAAGTGTTATCTTCTACTCCTATCCGAACAAATTGTCTCTTAACGTAAGCCCTCTACCTTGAGTGGCCTCGGGCCTTGTAAAGAGTGACCTTACTGTAAAAGAAAAAAACAAAAAGAAAAAATTACTAAGGTGCAAGGGGTCACTGAATGTGAGAAAATATGAGGAAAATACTATTAAGGAGAGAGAACAATAAAAGAACAGGAATTAAAAAGGCAGCAGATAATGATTGACATTGCATTTACATTTTTGAAGATGAAAGTTGACTGGGAAGCATTAAGCCGGAAGAAAGTTCCATAAGCGAGAAGCGTGAGAGAAAAAAAAACTGTTAGCATAGAATTTACGTCTGCATATAGCCATTTCAAATGTAAGGTGATGAGACCTTGCCGCCAATCTAGTACTGCGTTTAAATTTATAAAGTCTCGGTACCGTCGAGGAAAAAGTCATCAAAACTATTACCAGAAAATATCTACAGAAAAGACACAAAGATGCTACGTTATGGCCGTGGAAAAGTGACTGAAGCCGAGATGCCAGGTCAAGACATTACAGATTCTTCTTTCGATTTTATGAAGAAACTTTAAATACATAATGGAAGCACCAGACCAAATGTGGCGGCAATATTTAAAGCAAGGACGAATGGTAGACTTATAAATAGGTAAGAGTCTGAATATAAAGCTTGTCTAGCACGATACACTTAACCAACTTTCCTAGCGGCAGACCTAGCAATTGATTCAATGTAATATTTGTATTTCACATCAGCGGGAAATGTTAGTCCGAGAAGGCGCATGGAGTCACTCTCCTAGAGGTTAGCATCAGCCATACTGATCGAAGACAGAGAAGGTTCTCACAGGCGATTAAAAGCGAGCAGTTTCGTTTTGGAAGCTTTAAAATTAACGAGCCATTTTCAATACTTGCTACAATTGAGAAAAACACGATGACGCAACGACCTTTAATTTGACAAACGATTTTGGCTTAGTTAGGCCACAAAACCCTGCGTCGTTTTTCGTCCATATTGGAAAAGAAGAGATTACAGGTTTGGTGTTAGTCTCCATTTTTAATCATCGGGAAATTCGTTTCTATCTTAATTAAATTATTGAAATTCTTATTCATTTTAAGCCTCCTACTGCTCCTCTATTTATCCTCTGAATTATCCTCTTTTTAATTAGATTATAAATAACTTACATAATTGAATTAATATTTACTTGCAGATCATAGAAAAAACTTTACAAAGTAAACCGCTGGTGCACTCACAATATGCAAAAGAAATAAGCAGTTTAAAAGAAAAACAGTATAAAATGAAAATGAAAAAAAAAAAATCGTCGGATGTATTCGTGTATAAGTCGAGTTTTACCAATTAAATTTTATTGGGCAATCGGACTGTTACATTAAATTCCATGCACTGTGTAATTTACAAGGCGCGTCATCGGTCCGAAAATGGAATATTGCTGCCACATCTGCGCTGAAGCTGCCTAATCACCTCTTTTCAGCTTCGACAGTGTTTGTTCGGCCTTGCGGGTGATGAATTGTTTTCCAAACTCCAATCCCTGTCTCACATATCAAACATTGCTAGCCTCTCGCTACTCTGTTTTCATGGCAGATGTACAGGTGAACTATATTTCAGACTTTTACAGCTAGGACCCGCCAGGCCACGTACACTGAATCGAAGGAAGGAGTTCCCCTAAGATAGCTTGTTTTTTCCCCCCAGATTGTGGAACAGACTCCCGAGATGATACTTCTCCAATTGCTTCAATCTTAACCTCTTCATCTTTAGAGCATATTTCTCCCTGTAGGTACGTCCTAACAACAACCTCTTTTAGTAACCCTCTACTTTGAGTGGCTCTTTGGTCTTATATTGAGTGATCAATAGTAATGACATCTGTCTTCATTTTCTTAAATGATATCTAAGTGGGGTGGGGAAAAACTGGCTCGAAAACTCGAAAGCCAAACTAGTGATATTCCATCATCACCAAGCGGAGCCTGAATTTTCACCCGTCGCGATGAACAGGTGCTCTCTCATGGAGTGCCCCTGCCTTGAGCGCCTCTTGGGACTTAAAGTTAACCCTGATCTCAAGTGGAATTCGTACATACATCCCAGCACTAAAGATACTACAAAAATGGTCGGTCCCATATACCGCTTTAGTAATGACCTGACTCCTGCTGCTATCCTCTGCCTTTGCAAGAATCACATCAGGTCGAAAATGAAATATTATTGACATATATGGACAGAGACTACACAGTCTTTACTTTCTAATCGCAATAGAGCTCAAAAGCATCTCCGCTTCCTTGTGGGTAATGAATTATTTCCACTCGGTAACTCCTTTCCCATAGACGAAACGTCGCCGGCCTCTTTCTCCTCTATTCCTATTTTCATGTAAAGTATTCAGACGAACTACATGTTGACCATGTTTGCCGTAGTCTCGGAATATGGAATCCAATGAAGTCCGTAATGTCTTCAATATCAGAGGTTGGCA